CATAAAACCGCGTAACTGACATTTGGTGCCAAAAATTGGACTTGCTCACACAAGCTTTCGCCTAAATCCTTATCCATTCGTCCTGAAATATACTAGCCAGAATTGCGATTGCTTTATAAAAAAGAGAACCATTTTGAAATATGAGTGTTTTTACTCTCTAGAAAATAATTTATGAAACCTCCCTTGCGCGGTTTTGCATTATCTTGATACGCGGTTTTTCATTTTGTTGATACGCGGTTTTGTACTTTAAATGACGATATGTATGTTATCGCATAACTTTGGACCACGTTAACCGATTTCTTTAATTATTTTTTTAAATGAAAGGTGGTTCCATACTTATTTGGTTTAGATCTGATCATTGCATCATGAATAAATTAGCGGGACTCTTAAATTTTTATGAGATTGAAGTCGGTTTTGTTTTTTGCTTAAAAATTCCTTCTTATCGTTCACTTTATTTCAAACGTTTTTATATGTACTAAACTCAGATAACCTCCTCGCCCCCAAAGTTTTCATTAAGTACCTTACCTTTATACTAATACATCTATTGACAAGTCTTTGAAATGAAACAGATTTACAACCGACCAAGGACTGATACTCCAGCAACATTCCCCAAGACTCTAGATATTCAGGGCTATCACTGAATCCATCGTAGTTCGACTTTTTATGCCGCTGCAACAACAACAAGGTTGTAACAAATTGGATTTTAGAATATGATTTTCTACTTTCATCTAGCATTACTTTAGAATTATTGACCTCATGACATAATTTCGATCCGTAGTTTAAAGTACTGCATTGCTTTGTGAAGTGTACAATTTGTTTTTGGCGATTGGAAGAGATACAATTTTTCCGATTTCTTGGAGAATACTTATAAAAATATGTACTATCTTTGGCGTGTCATTGCTTATAAAACTAACAAAAATAGCAACTACCTAAATTATTTAAATGCTTTTCAACATAGTAGCTCAAAGGAAACGAATTTTAAAAATATTGGTTACACATATTAACTTAATAATTAAATTCCAACACATCACGGAAGCATTTTTTTGGGGGGATTTGGGTAGATTGGCCGGTTTAGAGTGTAAACAACCGCCAGGTTATTCCTCTGCTTTCAAATATGTCTCTTAGTATGTAATCATCCGACTGCAAT